CATAATATAATCATATATAATTCACATGTACAAGAAATTTTTTTAGAATTACCTGATACTCTAGCTTACAAATATTCACAAAGATTACTCCAAAATTCTCAAGAGTCTACAAAATTGCACATAAATATTTATTAATATAAGCTCAGAACTACTCCAGAACTACTCCAAAACTATTCTAAAATTCTAAGACTACCCTCTAAACCAAAATTACATAAATATATTAACTCTCCCAAATCTAGCCATTTGTAATAGATATAATACTATTTTGAAAAATATAATTTACATATAAGGCTATTTAAATTTAACAACTTAAGTAAATATATTTTTATTACCCAAAATATAAATATTTTATATTAAAATTCTCAATTATTTATTATAGTCTCCTTTAAAAAAATTTCTCAAACCAAACAACTTCTTTGAATTATAAACAAACTGTAACTTTATCTAATTTCACAAAATTCTCAATTTACAATTTTTCAAGCCTTCAAAAATGATTTTAGAAATATATCTTTAACTTTTTTAATATTTAAACCGATTAAAACCTCAATAATATATTAAATAACTCAAATAAATTATTTAACTTAAATTTAATTTTTCAACTAAAATCTTAATTTAAAATTCTCAAAACAGTCATTGAGTAAATATAAACTAATTAAAATTCTTTAATAAGTATATTTAAATTTCTACAGTCATACATTATCAAATCTCCATATTTACTCTATACCCAAATAGTAAAATTTTCTCTAAACATTATAATGATACTAATGATATAGAGCTATAAATATATAAGAATTATTTATAAAGAAAATTTGATAAAAAAAAAAGTATATTTGTGTACTTAAATGATTTTCAAATCTTTCCTTATCTTTCAGATAGCATGTACTTCCACTCTCTCTTAATTTTCCTTTCTTCCTCTTGGTCTCTCTTTCTCTCCCACTCTCTCTTGCTCTGGCTTAAAAGAAATAACCAGAATGATGATATATATAATACCCCCACATTTAATTTTCCGCTACCCATCTCCCATTTTCCACTTCCATCCGTACCTTCCCCCTTTCTTTTTCTTCCATCATTTACTACTCCTCCCCTAAATTCCTCTTTCATTTAATACACCTCCCAAAATTCTTCTCTTAGTTAATTGCCCCCAACTTTCCACTGATTTCGGTGGAAAGTTGTCTTGTTTTTTTTAATAACTTAACAACAAATCATTATTTTATTTAATTTAATAATTATTTATATATATATTTGTATGTTACATAACATCCTAATTTTTGAGGGCTTAGAGATTTAATGATAATCTAGAATACAAGAAGGATATATTATAATTTACGAGAAAGATGATATGTTATAAAATTAGTTTTATACATTAGTCTAATAAAAAGAAATCATTATTGGAATAAATGCTTTGATATGTCCATGTGAGTGTATATTAATTAGTAATTAGTCATGAATTAAATAATATTATGTGGAGTAAATGATAATTATAAAACTTTCAAATGAAAAAAAAAATTGAGATTTGATAAGGAGTTATTAACATATTATCTATATCTAATCAGATTGGATAAATCTCAAAACAATTAAATTTAAAAATTTAATTATATAAATTTAATAAAATGTAATTTAAATATTTATGTATATTTATTAACCTGAGGAACAAAAACCTACACTTGCACCTAATGTGTTCCCACTCCTCTCCAATCTCATGGTCGCCCCTTCTTCCTCATGCTTTCTTTTGTATCCTCTCATGATTTTCACAAGCCTTACCTTTGTTTCCATCAATCCCATATATCTGTGTGATATTAGCCACAATCCATCCATCTTTTTCTACCAATTTTTCCTTTCCTCTACTTTTTATTTTCTTCCTTCATTTAATATTGTCATGTTGGATTGTTGCCTCCATTAAGATCACACAAGTTAGAGTTTTCCTGTTGCAGGTATAGTGACTTTTGACAATCAATTATTTCATATATTATATATAGGGGATTGTTCTCAAATGAATATATATGTGTGTGTGTATTTCCAAGTTTTCGTATTTTATTTCTTCTTAAGGTTGATAGTTCACAGAAATATGTAGAGACTCTTTGTCCTTTACCCTCAATTATAACTTATTGTAAATAGTAATTATTTAAGGTTGTATTTTACATGAACATCGTTTTATTTTATTCTCTAGAATTAAGGAACATATGACCTTAACATATATTTCCTACTCATGGATATTACACACACATGGTGTAGATTTAAACTAAAAAGATTAATATTCGTCAAATCTTAGTTAGGAGAATTTAATGATATTTAATTTGGGTTCCTTAGAGCAGCTTCTAAGGCTCTAAGGTAGTTTTAGAGTAACCTTAAGGTACTCTTAGGATAGATTTTTAATAGTATGAGTTATGAATTAACATTTTGTATATGTGTGATTCTTGTAGATAGTCATTGAGAGGTCACATTATTGAGATTTGATGCTTGACTGCATGTGAGTTAAAGGAGAACAGGTAACTTGGGTTTTATTTTTATTTTTATATGTGTGCAAGCCTTGTGGGTGTGTTATGATTAAATGTATATCAATTTATATATATATATATAAATATATATATAACTCTATCTACTTAAGTGCAAGTAAATTGTCGAGGCTATGAAAAGATAAAAGGGTATGATTATATTATTTTATGCGTTATTTGGATCCTTTTGTTAAGCATTCTTATGTTAGAATTATATTTTTTAAAATATATGCTAATTTATTTTTTTCAACATGCTTGTATGTACTAGAATTGTTGCTTATGCATGACATGCATTGGTGGTTGAGCTAAGCAGTTTATGATACTTATCAATATGATATATAGTAACCACGTGGTTTGGCTTCACTATGTGCACAATGGTCGGTCTTTTTAGGGTCCCCTTCCTTAATACTTGCTTGGCTAGATTTGTAGAGGGGGAACATGGGACAATGACACCTCCTAGTTTAGTTCTTTAAGGAGGGGAGCCATAGTCTAAACTTGCGCTTTGCACCTTTGGCCGGGTACATCCTAAGTACTGTAGTAGCTTTGGTTGGTCCACTGTGTGGGCCAACCTACAAATAAGCCTATAGTTCCAATCAACAGAATAAAGTTAGATGGAGCCATAAGGGAGGAAGCATCTATTGCATGTAGACATGATATGTATATGCTTATCATGAACTTTAGTGACATTGTTTGTTGTTGATTATTTAAATTATTTCAATAATTGTACATAAGCTAGTTAATGATTATTTGTGTGTGATGGTTTGTACGTCCATGGTTAAACTCTGAGTTACTGAGACATTAGTGCTCGCTCCATTTATTTAACAATTTTCATGTGAATAGTCTCATAGGGATCAAGAGAAGGCACTAAATGAGTGTGCCTTAAAGGCTCTAATGTACTCGTTGAGTACATTATGCTATATTATATTTAATTACCATAACACTAGGGACAAATTCTTGAAAAAAAAATTGGTTTTCATTAATTTCTTATTTGAGGCTACTTTTTATATTAGTACTTGTAATTATAATTTGTATTGAAGTGAGACCCCTATGGCAAAGAGTATTGACATCTTGTATAGTTTGGGACGAAGTCCCTCAGTATTTGTGTGGTTTGATTAATTAAAAAATAAGTTTATTGGTTAATTGAATGATGTGTTACACCTTTAAATAGGTTAATTACATGATATATAAATAATAAAAATAATAACCCCACCTTTTAAAAATTAGCCATGACTCACAAAATGGGACAATGGAATCTAATTAATCCTAAATGCATGGGTGTGGGCAGCAAAAATCATGCAAAAAATAATCAATAACGAGAAAATGGGATAGCAGGAATAATGGGTACTCAGATGAATAATTCAAAAAAATTAAAATAAATTAATTTCCAACAGCCTATAGATCAAAATACTGAAAATCAAAATATATAGTTACCTTATATACAACACCAAATCCTCCCTCTCGAAATTTATTCTCTGCATTGAAATTTTTAGTAGCAGACTTCAACTCCCTATAACTAAAATTTAATTGGGCCTTCCAACTTACTTAGTCCATATATATGTCTTAGTTTATTATGGTTATTCTACATATTTAGGTTATTTTGCATACTTAATTACTCAAAAAATTTTAGAGACTCCCTAAAATGAATACAACTCAGATCGTGTACTATGTTACATTAATTTATTTATTTTTAGAGTAACCCATAGCGATAAATTAAGGGCTTTATTTTAATGACGTTCACTATAGCAGAGAATATAGAAAGCCCTAAAGCTACTTCAAAACAACCTTTAACTTACCCTTATACCTTACCAACCTCAAAAAACTTTTAATATACCTCAAGATCATATTAAATTCGAGCTTGATGACCCCTAAATCCTTGATTAAAAACCAAGAGTGTCACAACCTCTACTCCTAAATAATGAAATAAAAAAAGTAAGAAAAATAATGAAATTAATGTGGATAAATGTGGGGAAAATATTGAATAAGGGAAATAAAAAATATATGCAGGCCTAGATTTTAGACCAAAACACAGTTTTATCATTGATATCATACATGTATCCATCGTATAAAATAAAACGAATATCCCCCGGGGGCGGGCCCAGTCAAGCCAGTAGTGCTTGTTTTATTAACATGATAAAATGACAAAAGCAAACCATTATTTTTTCAATGTATAATTATATATGCACATGATAAAGTATAACTAATCAAATTAATTGGAACTATATTTGCTTACATATAGTATTATGCATTGTCCCTTCCCTTTGCCCCTAAAATATTTTATGTTCTACTTGTGACCTATCATAAGATGTCTTTAAAAATTAAAGAAACATGATTTTATTTGGTGACTTTTAGCATTCTAATCCCCCTTACAATTTTTCATATAAATTTAAAAAATATATCTCTTTATTTTAAATACATTCCAACAATCTTTCTGGTAGTACACAAGTGAGCACAACAATATTTGATGATGGAGAGGACAGAGTAAAGGTAAAAAGGTGTCTTCCATTGACCCTAACTGGTTACAATTAAGATAGGCATAGAGGGTCTCATATGCGATAAGCCATTGTTTTGGAGCAAGTCAATTACTTCAGACATTGTTGGCCTTAAATCAGCAAACGCTTGGGTGCAAAGCAAACCAATCTCTATGACTTTCTTTGCTTTTTGTGCTTCGGAGTCATTAAGGTCCAGGGCTTTATCTACCAACTCTAAGTGCATGCCGCTCTCATATAGTTTCCAAACCTAACAAGTGGGATTTAGACGAGATGGAATAAAACAAGTGGAAAAGACAAAGAAAAATTTCAGCTATTAATTTTTAATTAGAAACATTTATTAGTAGAGTTCTTCACACAAAAGAGGAACTTTTTTCAAAAGGTTAAGCTGAGTTGTTAAAAAAGTCCTACATCTAAATCTTTTCAAAATAACTCTTTTTAGATAATTATGGCACATTTCTCACCTTTGTTAGAAGGAATTCATCTTCAGCGTCACCATGATCCTTAAATGCTTTGCTTTTCTGACCCGAAATGATTTCAAGAAGTACAATACCATAACTGTAAATATCAGTCTTCTCTGATAATTGACCATGAATTGCATATTCTGGTGCTATGTATCCCCTAAAAAATACGTAGTATTTAGGAGCAAATAAATATTATGCAAACAAATCTCAAATAGAGGTGTGCAATGCAAATATTGGATCATTTTGACATACCTATGAATATTCTTTTTGCAAGTGCATGTTATGAGGAGAAAATTGGAAAAGTTAGCATTTGTAGGTGCACTTGAAGTGTTGTTATTTCTTAAGCATAGATTTTATCAAAAATGATAGACAACCTAATGTAATATAATGGAAAGCTAAGGAAATTATAGGAAAAGAATTTATTTTAACTTACAATGTTCCCACAAATTTTGTGCTGAGATGAGATTTGTCCTCAGGTAAAAGTCTTGCCAATCCAAAATCAGCAATTCTAGGTTGTAAATCATCGTCTAACAAAATGTTGTTAGTTTTTATATCTCTGTGTATGATGCAGACTTGAAATTGCTCATGGAGATAAGTCAAGCCCCTTGCTATTCCCAAAATTATAGCATATCGCTGCTCCCAGTTGAGAAAACCTTTCCTTTCACCTGTTTGTCAAGTTTTCAAAATTGAAATACATGACAGAAAAAGAAGAAGAGCGAAACAAAAATGATTCTCGAAATATTACCACAGGGAATTGATGTGCGTGTATGTGTGCATTAAGTGATATATTAAAGCGATGACATAAGAGGAATGACCTGTGTGTTGAGTAAACGATATATTGTCTTAAGAACATGTTCATGAGTCATAATGCTACTAATTAATTAAGAAGCATAGCAAATAAATGCTTAATGAACTACATATAAGTTTTGTCGGTTGATGCAAGATACCAAATAAGAATCTGTCCAAACTATTGTTCTTCATGTATTCATATACAAGGATTCTGTCACGGCCCTTACTACACCATCCCAAAAGTTGAATAAGATTCGGATGATGAGCATCACTGATAAGCATCACTTCACTCAAAAAATCTTCCTCTATCTTCTTGGAGCGTAGTAAATTTAACTTCTTGACTGCAACTACTTTCCCATCCCTTAGAGTGCCCTATTCATGATGATTTAAAATTTCAATCAGGAAATTGTTATATAAGTTTTTCCTCTGTCCCATTGGAAATCTAACTTTAATTTTTACATTACATGAATCTCACTTAAAAACGTCATTCCTTTGGAACATGATCTATAATTATTAAAATACATGAGATCAAAATAAAGTTACATACCTTATATACAGAACCGAATCCTCCTTCTCCTAGTTTAGTTTCTTCACTAAAATTCTGAGTTGCAAACTTCAAATCCTTATAATTGTAAGAAATCAGGCCTTTTAACATAGTTGCAATAGTAATGTCCCCTATTGACAAGAAGATCATTTGTCAAAGTATCTTCATGAGCTGAAAGAACCAATTGGGGATCCATCCCTTCATAGAGATGAAAGTATGTTTACCTCTGTGAATTCTCTTCGAGTATTTTGATCGTCTAATACATATAAATAATATCAGGAGGATCGTAACAAGGGTAAATCCTCCAACAACTCCCCCGATCACTGCCCCCTTCTTGCTTGAACCTACAAGACAAGACTAGATGACTTGTTTTTAAATAAGTCATAATTTTTGCATATTAAATGTTCCTCTAAAAAATTTACAAAGAAAGAACATATCTCAATAACGTTTTATCGGTAAAAAAAGCAAAATGCATCATTATCAATATTGACACTAATATCGTTTTCTATGTAAAGCAGATAGTTTAAAAGGTAAATGTTCACAAGTAGATATCTTCACAGTGAGCATATTGGATAATAATTATAAAAAATTATCAAAGACTGTACTAATTCTTTTCAATATTGGATATATGAAAAAAGTCAAATGGAACCTAATAAAATAGAGGGGAAAGATTGATAGAATAGAAAAATTGCATGAACCCTTAGAGAATTCTCAATGTTTACAACTGATGAACAATGCAATTCTGGGTAAGTTTTATTAACAATATAATCCCTTAATCGATGATGGGGTTTTAATACACAAGCAAATCAAATTGTCATGCTGCAATAATATTTATTATATATATATATTAAAATCTTTGAAAGAGCCATACCTTGTTTGCCCAAGGAAGTAATATCAATGGGTTGGTAATAATGTGGAAAGAAGGAAGAGGGGGAGTATCTCATGAAACACCCATCAGCATAAGCCCTACCATCCGAATTGGTAAGACAGGTCGGCATAATATTGTTATATCCAGTGTTCAAGCAATTGAAGCAGCCATTCTGAGTGATAGTTTCAATACATTGAGCAAAGCCATAAATAGTTGTGCCATTATTATCAGGCAATTCTATCTTCGTGGCTGCAAAAAACCCTTATCTTTTGGGTGTTGTTGTTTGCAGATTCTTTAGCACTTGTTGCACAAGTGAGGTAAATAATGTAGTGGATTCTCCTACAGTTTGATTTCCACATGATACGGCATTGAAATCCTCCGTTGTCTTCCAAAAGAAAGCATTGGTCTCGTACCTCAATTCACAAAATGTATAACGTAACATATCAATTTTCCAGGATTAGTAAGCGTTTGTCTTGTTTACATACAAAACTTATAGGATGATATCTTGTAAATCGATTAGGGGTGTGTTTGAATAAACTTTTAGAGAACAAGTCATCATTTTAACCAAAAGAAAAAACTTTAGATCAAGTTTTTTATATTCACTATGTCACGGCTATGTGTTTTATTTTTGAAATATTATCATTTAATTCAAAAACAGGGCGCATATTGTTATATATAATTGGAGACCTTGACATAAAAAATATGAGAAACTTAATATAAATATTGTCTCTAACAAATGTTGCAGAAGAGACCTAAAATCACAAATCACATAAATTAAGCTGTTTATATACTAGGTAGGTTCAGGCCTGGTTAAGAGACCGACGATTAGTTCTATGAATGAGCACCAAGGGCTAGATAGGTGGCTACACTGATTGAAGACTGCATTATTTTTTCAGCTATTTATGTGGGCTGTGCATTTCAAAGAATGTAAGGAATTTCCTTAATCTTTTAATGGATCAGTTTAACTAGTGTCCCTTCTCATGGGTATCAGCCTTATGTAAATTTAGATATTATGGGAGTCTAGTCATTTCTAAATGACTAGGATCAAAGGTAGGGGTAGATTTATTACAATAAAGTTGTGAATTCTAATAAGATGGTTTATAATTGGGTTTTATCAATTGACGAGTATATATAAAAAAGTTTTGCTTGCTCAAAACAACTTTTAATTTCATTATTATTTTAATGCAATTAAAATTTTGCTAATTATAACAATTTTCCTGTATAAGAAAATTTTCATGTAAACAAAATTTGGAAATTTATTATCATCAACTATATTCATTTATCTTTGTATGCTGTCCGTATAAGTTATAATATAACATTTCATTTCTAATTCAATTTCAACTACAAATTAAATTCTATACTAAGAACGGGAAGTAATAACTAAAATTTATTTTCTTTATTTTCTCTACTATTTAATTAGCATATATCAATGTAAACCGCACAAACCACTACCTCGGTTATCAAAATAAATAAATATCTTATCTATATGACTATAACCCCTCACCCCCCCCCCAAAAATCGTCATCTCCGCATAGGAAGGTCAAACTGGAGCCTAATTTCTATTTAAAATAGAAAGGTCAAACTGGAGCTTAATTTCTATTTAAAATAGAAAGGTCAAACTGGAGTTTAATTTGCGGACGAATTGTACCCGAGGAAGCAGCCATCGAAGACAACGCCGGCACCTTGTGCCGCCGGAGGACACTTACGGACTTGCCGGACTGCGACGTCGAAGCAGGCAACACAGTCAGGAATGGAGATATAGTTTCTGTTAGTACAATTTATATGAACACATATATTTATCCAAATAGTCATATAGAATTTTACAATCATCAGAGTAGCAGCGGAAGACTTATAAATACCTCTCGCCATGCTAGATAGTCTAGAGAAGCAATCCACAATGCTTTTGGCCTTGATCTAGATTAGAATAACTGAAATTATTCAGATGTTATGAGTAGAAAAGATATCAGGATCTCTTCTGACTGGGAGGTGGGCATAGTGATGGAACTGGGAAAGAGCCGCCGCCAGTCAGGGAACCTCAAGAGCGTATTAGGTTTTCACTGATGCTCACTCAGTTAACCGTCAAAACTTAACCCACCATCAAGGTCGAGAATGACTAAAAAGCACTGAGTCTAGAACCCTACCTGGACTGGGCCTAACTGACTAACGGGCCATACTTTGGATATTTTAATTAAAACAAAATAATATAATATAATATAAAATATATAATTAAAATATCTTACATTCTCCCACTTGGCCCGTTCATAATATGTCAGTTGACATGTCAAGGTTGATCAAGGCAATACTATTAGAATCATGGCGATAAGTCCTCTTAATCGAGTATTATCTTCCATGTATTACAAATAGCATCCTTACTTAATGGGTTATAACTTTATGAATAAACCTTAAATGTTTATTCGGTTCCAACTTGAATGTTTGTTAATCTCACATAATTCAGGTACCAAACTTGAGACAACAAACCAAAATTTGAATTTCATCACTTGATAACACCTCATTTAGATCACTACATGTGATCCATCTCTGATAAGATATTGATCCTTTGACATTTTTAATAGCATGCTCTTTATTCAAAGATTTATGCTTTATGTGTTTTATGACCAATTAAATCCATGGTCATATAATAAACACCTTTGATGAATTTGAAATTAATTCAATAATTTAAAATCCTATGATGAAATTCATTAATCAACAATCTTACAACTTGCCTCTATGAATGATTACAAGAGACACTTCATTATGAAAGGAAACAATCAGTGATTGTTTAGCAATCTTGCACTCCTTCATGATGCAACTTGTTCATTAAGCATGGATATGTATCACAATGTTAACAATGTGTTGCTAACTCATCCAGCTAAATTGAACGATCTCAATCATTCAAGGAAATTGACTCATATATGTGAAGCATGATACCTAATGTACATTTAGTAATGTACTTCACCATTGCAGCTTTTCAGTTATCATTCAAGTATTAATTTACTTGTAACTCCTACTAATATTCATTGTAATGACATTGCCCATTTTGTGCACATTTAAACAAGGCAATATCCTACCAGTTGACTTAGAAGAAATACTCATCATCTCCTTTACATGATGATCATATTAGAGACATATAGACAATCTGATCATATCCTCGTATCAAGTATGTTACACATGACAAATGTCATCTATTCATGGATGTTCAAATACTTGTGATTATATATTACTTATGATAATCTCAAGTACCTTGAGAATAATCCATTTATGTATTCTAAAAGAATACAGCACCTTAACCAATAATATCACAACTTTTGAACAATGACCATCCTCTCATTTGTAACACCTTGAGTCATAAATATGAACAATATATGGATCATCTATATGCAAATTATAGATGACCCAACTCCCACTAATCAAGTGATACAAACAAAACCATGATATTCTCAACTTGATCATGCATGTGAGTATATCATGATATATTAGTCATCACTATTTTGAGACTTGCTCATGGACCAAATTCTCCTTGTATAAACTATTTGACCTCTTTTACTAATTCATGTATCTCTCCTTGTATCAAAAATTGGAAAGATTCTAACAATATTCCAAATCAATATAGACATTGGTACCATGAAGATATGGTGGGAACTATTCATTAATATAGGAGGTAATATCTCACTATAATAAGTTCCTTTTCTCTATAGAGAATCTTTGGCGAACAATATTCTTTTGTATTACTTAATGTTGCATACTAGCAACTATACAAATATTCAAACGTTATTGTTTGCCTTGAAATCTCACATATCTATTATGAAGCAATGCCTTTATTTGGAATATATTTCATTTCTTGAAATATGAAATTGAGATCATACTCCATATTTTTATTTATGTTCTAGCTGAATACTTTTATGTACATCATGTAGTTACAGCGAACTACCAAATTTCAATCACTATTGATCTTAACTCAATCTGTTAATGAGATTGAAGTTGCAGAAAAAAAAGTATCACCCATCAATTTTGAGATATCCCTTATATATTTTCAAATACTCCTTGTATAATTGACGGAATTCTTAATGTTGATACTCTTAATTTCAAACATGATCAATTGTGAATCTAAGAACTTCATGATGGTTTTACATTCACCTTAACAAGATGAGTGCCATGCCAAACCAATGTTCTACCATAATTAGAGGTTGTTCTTTATATGTGATCATTTTTTATTAGTTTGATCACTCCCACTAATCATGGCAATAATAATGAATTTGGCATTCCTCCAAATACTACACTAAAATATGATGGACAAAACATTTGGATGCTTGAGACTTTTATGTATTTTCATCAAAATATGCAATATAAGTCCCAAGAAATATTTTCCTTCTACACTCTTTCTTTCATAAGACAATTTTTCTACAAGTATATATAATAAGTTAAGCTTCCAACTCTTTAGATTTTCAAAAGAATTTAAATACAAATTAGGTTGGAATCTCATTTAGTATATACATAATTGTCTTGAGTGTGTACCCGAAGAGGAAAAACAAATTGTAAACCTTACTGCTCAATATGTCTATTAATATTATGTTTCTTCTCTCAACAACATCACCTAGTGATTTCTTATATGAAGAAACTTAATATATAGACTAGGTTACTGTCCATCACTAATGTACTCACCATCTATCTCCCTTGTTGATCTCACTGCATTAATCTATTTGTCAGATTAACCACCCAATTTTGCCTTGTACATTACACAATTATAAGGCAAATAGTGATCAGACATTGTGAGAAGCCACTTATAGGAAAAATATGTAATTCCATTTACTAGAACACAAACTTAAAATAAATAATAGTACATGTAATCTCTTACTAATCATAACTCTTCAAACTTTCTTAAAGTGGTGCGATAGTTTACGTATTTCTTAATGTAAACTATACATAGATTGGAATCAATAAGGTTTAAGAGATCATTAAATCTCATTCTTGATACACCTTTTGACCCTTTCATGAAGATCTTTGAAAATATTATGCACCACACAACTTGAAGAAATCCTTCTCATGGTTAGTACAAACAAAATGAGATTTTAAATGCACCAATGGCAATAATTTATCCATC